AGCAAATAGTCCAACAGACACCGCCTGGTCCCCATAGGTCAGCTTGGGGATGTCCGGGGTGCTCACGGTCACTTCTCGAGTTCAGTCTGGTGGGATAACCTGTTGGCATTGCCGTGTTGTTTACCTGGGCAGTAATGTATGGTAAAATCCTGGGCCTGGCCTTTAATGGCTGCTGCATCACACACCCCACCTAGTGCCATAGGTACTGTACTTCTGTCATCCCTATGTGACACTTTGCTGGTTTCAGAGTTAAGCCAACTTTTCTAATCAAATCTAGTACAGCACTAATATGGCCTAGGTTCTCTTCCCACGTGGAGCTAAAGAATGCAATGTTGTCCATGTATGCAAGGCATAATCCTGGAGGAAATAGACGAGCCAATCCACAATCCTTTGTAAGGTGGCTGGGGCACTCTTCATCCAGAATGGCAGGACCCTAAATTTGTAGAAGCCAAACTCGGTGATGAAGCCTGACATGGGGACTGTCATTGCACAAGTCTATTGTAGTTGGGTATCTTCCAGGGGAGGGCTGGCAGCCTTAGGCCTGGGGGGCAAAATCAGTCAAGTGGCCCATTGCACCACCAAATCAGTGCAATGGTGCCCACCTTTTCCTGGTTTTATAACGGATATTGATGTTATGCTAATCACTAGCTCTTTGCCATACCCGCTCCTTCACGGCTCTGACTTTCAATGTTGTCAAAGCGCAGGCTGAGAATCTCTGAGCGTGTGCTCTGACTCACTAACTGAGCGCCGGAACCACGAGGGAGAGGCTATAATCTGACTGCACCTACTGCTGGTGCACCAGTGGACCACCAGCGAATCGTTTAAATTGAATAGGCTGGTGTCCCCAACTTGTGAGCTGTGTTGTCCGCCGGGCGCCTCTGTTGTGATGGCACCCTACGTGACCGCACAGCGTGCACACCCCAACGGCTGGCCCTGCTGACACACACTGATGTTACTACTTAGAAATCCCTCAATATTAATACAGACATCAGAGTAAACACCAATAAACTGTGCAAACAGAGCTGATCCCACCCAAATTTATAAAGATTTGCTTACTGGATTTGTTGTAAGATTAAATCATGCCTCCTCCTCTCTCTCTCCGATGCGCTGCTCTGTAAGCTGGGAGGAAGTGAAGAGTAATCACAATCTCCCAGCACAGTGGCACCTGTGGCTGCATGGGGAACAGCTGTATTTGCCGCCCCCCCATGTGACATCACAATGCCCCACCTATATGAGCTGCCATACGAACTAACGCCAGTGCTGCCCACAGTGTGTGTTTACATTAAAAAGCCTGCAGGGACCGGCTATAGACACCAGAACCACTTCATTAAGCTCCAGTCGTTCTATAGTGTCCCTTTAATGTAATGTAAATTATAGATTAGTGTCACTAATAATATACTAGATTGCCTACTTACAACCAAATGAGGATGATGATGGGCTGCAGTTTGGCTCCACTGGTCTGATGTAGAACAGGATCTCTGGAGGCTGTTTGCAACTGTGGTCACAAAATTCAATGTTCTGGGAGAATTGGAAGCAGCTCCATTTTTTGGGGGGCCGCTTACACAGCTCAAGGTCTGGGCCCTAGGGCCTGACGGTGAGTATGCCCACAAGGCCTACTCATAAGTCCACTTATATGTTCCACCCACCCATGAGTTCGCTCACAGGGAGTGGAGTGTGTAGGGGATGTGTTATGTGTTATTGTAGAGGATCTAATATGTGTGCTTATGGTATGTAGTGTATAGGGTTACCAGTTTGTGCAGGTGATGCCGTGTGTTTGTGTGTAGTGGAAGCAGTGTGTATTTGTGCATAAGGGATGTATTGTGTGTTTCTGGTTGTGTGTAAGGGATGCATTGTGTGAATCTGTGTTTGTATGCATAAAGGATGCATTGTCTTTGTGTGTAAGTGTTGCATTGTGTGTGTGTAATGGATGCATTGTATGTCTCTCTGTGTGTAAGGGAAGCATGTTGTGTTTCTGTGTGTGTAGGGATGCATTGTGTGTTTCTGTGTATGTATAGGGATGCATTGTGTGTGTGTGTGCGCGTAGTGTCCTCTCCTCCCTGTGTCCTCCTCACCTCCCCCTCCCTGTGTTCTCCTCACCACCCACCCTCCCTGTGTTCTTCTCAGTCCCCCCCTTCTCCTCATCTCCCCTTCTCCTCACTTTTACTCTCCCCCCTCCTCCTTGTGTTCTTCTTACTCCCCCCTTGTTCTTCTTACCACCGTTTTTCATACCCCCTTCTTCTTCTTACTCCCCCTCCTCCTCCTTCTGTTACACCCCCCTGCTTCACTTACTTCCCCCATCTTCACTTACTCCCCCCATCTTCACTTACTCCCCCCATCACTTACACCCCCATCTTCACTTACCCCCCATCTTCCCTTACTCCCCATCCCCTTCTTCCCTTCTCCCCATCTTCACTTACTCCCCCATCTTCCTTACCTCCCTCCTTCATTAACACCCCCATCTTCCCTACTCCCCCAATCCTCTTCCACCTCCGCCTCCCCTTCACTTACTCCCATCTTCACTTACTCCCCTCCTTCATTTACACCCCCTCTTCTTACTCCCCCACCTCATTCATTTACACACCCTGCTTCATTTTCACTGCCGTCTTCACTTACTCCCCCCTCCTTCATTTTACACCCCCATCTTCACTTACTCCCCCTCCTTCATTTACCCCCCATCTTCCTTACCCCCCACTTACTTCCCCCCCTCCTTCATTTACACCTCCCATCTTCACTTACTCCCGACCCACCACGGAGCTATCCTTAGTTTCATTGTCTGTTACTACCATGGAGCTACCCTTCGTTACAGAGTCTGCTTTTACCACAGGGCTATCCTTAGTATTGGAGTATGCTTCTTCCATGAAGCTATCCTTAGTTTCAGAGTCTGATTCTACCACAAATCTATCCTTAGTATTGGAGTCCGTTTCATAGTCTGTTACTACCATGGAGCTATCCTTAGTTTCAGAGTCTGATTCTACCACAAATCTATCCTTAGTATTGGAGTCCGTTTCATAGTCTGTTTCTACCATAGAGCTATCCTTAGTTTCAGAGTATGTTACTACCATGGTGCTATCCTTAGTATTGGAGTCTGTTTCTACCATGGAGCTATCCTTAGTTTCAGAGTCTGTTTCTACCATGGAGCTATCCTTCGTTTCAGAGTATGTTACTACCATGGAGCTATCCTTAGTTTCATTGTCTGTTACTACCATGGAGCTATCCTTAGTTTCAGAGTCTGATTCTACCACAAAGCTATCCTTAGTATTGGACTCTGTTTCTACCATGGAGCTATCCTTAGTTTCAGAGTCTGCTTCTACCATGGAGCTACCCTTAGTTTTAGAGTCTGATTCTACCATGGAGCTATCCTTAGTTTCATTGTCTGTTACTACCATAGAGCTATCCATAGTTTCAAACTGTTGTACTAGGGAGACTTCGCTGAACACAAATATTTGTGTTTCAAAACAGTAAAAAGTATCACAGCAATAATATCGTCCGTGTAAGTGCTGTTTGTGCATGAAAAATGCAAAAAACGTCACTTTCACTGGCGATATCATCGTTGTAATACATTTTACTGTTTTGAAACACTAATATTTGTGTTCAGCGAAGTCTCCCGAGTAGAACAGTACCCCCCATGTACAGGTTTTATGCTGTCTTGGAAAGTTATAGGGTTAAATATAGTGCTAGCAAATTAAATTCCCTTTACTTTCGGCATGGGTTGTCAGATAGGTCCCGCTAATTGTAATTAATTAAGATACCTAATTATGTAAAAATATTACATAAATATATATGTAGAATTAATATATGTATATATATATATATATATATATACGTATGTGAATCTATATGTGTATATCTATATAATTTTTTTAAAATATTTTTATTTATATATAGGTATATATATAGTGATATATACGTATATATTTATGTATGTAGATATATATATTATTTTGTTCTACGTGTATTTTGATATAAATATATATATATATATTATCACAATACAGTTAGAACGAAATAACACACATCTATATATTTTTTAATAATTTTTTTAAATAATTTTTTTAATTTTATTTTTTAACATATTTACATATTTAATTTTTTTATATTATATATAAATATATATATAACAATAATTATATATATATATATATTTAATCAGTATCAGTCTACGTGTAATTTGATATTAATATATATATATATATATATATATAATTATATATATATTAATAGTAAAATACACCTAGACAGTGTATGTGTGTATATGTATATATGTGTGTATCATATATATATATAATATATATATATATATGATCTAAGTATATATTTATTTATTTTTACACTAATAAATTAAATTATTTTTTTTTTTTCAGCCAGCAGGGGGACCACCTGTCATTACAGGCAGTCCCCCTGCTGGCAATGCAGGAGGCAGCTACCCTCGCTAGGACCCCACTCTCACATGGCCGGGGGTCACCGGAGGAGAAGGATCTGCCGCGGGGAGGCTCCCTGGGACCGCCGGCGACCGGGTAAGTTAACAAAAACCGGAGGGCGTACAATTAAAATAGGGCGTAATTGTACGTCCTTCGGTCTAAAGGGGTTAAAACAGAAAGCATAGAAACAGAGGGGGGAGAGGGGTAAATGAACATAAAAATGCTAGGGCTAGTATAGCACTAAAAATAAGAATCAATGATAAAACATCAGGGACAGGTGTTCGAACGTAAATAAGGAAGGGTGGACTAAGTTAAAAAATGGCACATCTCAGAATTGGCATTTAATCCGTTTGGGATCAGGGTATTTAAACTAAAAATCCATTCCATTTCTCGTTTACTTAGTTTCGTGTTAAAATTCCCTCCTCTCCAATCTTTTTCTACTTTATTAATACCTAGGAATACAGTGCATTTAAACTCGCTGTTATGAAATTCTTTATAGTGGAGAGAAACACTGTGTTTCTCAAAACCTTTCGTAATATTGCAGCCATGTTCCTCTATTCTTGTGTGTAGGGCTCGGGTGGTTTTTTCCTATATAACATAAGTCACACGGGCATTGCATAAGGTATATTAAATTTTTAGAATAGCATGTTATAAATTCCTTGATGGGGTATTCTTTCCCTTCTTTAGTTTTGAATTGTTTCAAATGCCTTTTTTTTATTTTCTGTTCTTTTACATACCAAACATTGGCCACAGCCAAAAAAAACTTTCTCCAAATTTAAAAAAGTAGTCCTGGGATTTGTGAGCATAGGACTCTCCATTAATGGACTTTTATTGCCAAATTAGTGTGTTTTTTTTTTAATTTGTATTTTATCATAGATTTTTATATTTTATATATATATATTTTTATATATATATATATATATATATATATATATATATATATATATATATATGTATATTTATAGTTAAATAAAGTGCACATTTTTTATCAACACACCTACGGCAGTCTTTCCTGCTTTTACAAAGAAGGAATATGGTCCTTAACCACACACTCTATCTGATTTGAGCCTATCTGGAAGGCTCTGGGTTTATGAGTACTATTTATCTTCAAATCTTACCACTTAAAGGAGAATTACAATATTGCACCATATTTGTTCTTTCTTATAATATCACATAGGATAAGAAAATTTAGAAAATCTCAGAAAGAAGGGAAAGGGTCGCTGTAACGGATCACCCATACTCCAACTGAGTACCTTCCTTTGATGGATGCTTCCTAGCTTGCGCCAAGGACCACAAGCACTGCACCGGACACCACAACCATCACAGACTCCACAACCGCCGTAGCTTAACTGGTAGTCTTGCCATATTCCTTTTACCCTGGATCAGGCTTCCAGGACTGTGTGGGAAAGACCTCTTCCTTCCACCCTGTATGAACCTCTGACATCCAGGACTGTGTGGGGAAGACCTCTCTTCCAGGAGAGCGGATTAGGAACAGCTCTTAGAAGAGCTAAGTGATTAAAGTTCAAGGGAGTATGCAGAGCATAGAAATCCCCAGTGTGATTATAGCAGTTCCCTCCAATAACGAGACAAGGCTATGTATTGAGGGTCAAGAAGATCTGTTTAATGAGTACCAAATGACTTTCTTTTATGCATGTTTTCAGGCTAGAGGCACACCCCCTGGACCTGGTGGTAAACTGTAACAAAAGGGACACAAACCAATGGGAACACTAATTAACAAAATAACACTCTCACATACACAGTAAAATCCCTCCCCTCTATCCTGGAGATAATTGTCTTAAGGCACTGCAATAAACTCAATTATCTCCAGGTACGGAAAATATCTCCATTTTACACTAACAGTAAAAATACATAAACATACATTAAACTACATAATTCCTATTATATTACACAGAACCCCCACATTTAATCTATCCCCAGATAGCTTGGATCTGAGCACCAAATACAGGTGAACAGCGCTCAGATCCCACTAACAGAGTAAATTTGCCATGGGGTTAAAGTTTTGCAAGGGCTGATGAGAGATTGAGGAGGGACAAACCAGCCAGTTTAAACTAGTCTGGCAGTGTCCTTGGGACAATGCCCTGCTGGAGAATGATGGACTGGAAAAGGGGTAGGGGAAGAGGCACATTCTCCCATGAAATCAAAGGGGCAGAAACAGTGCAATAAAATCCAATATGCCCAAATAACATTTTTAAAGGGCAAACTCTCCCAGGGGCCATAGTCACAAGGCAAGAGGCTGGCAATTAGTGCTCTCCAGGCACAAGTGGAGAAGGGCACTTCATCACAGTCACCTTACGGACCTTAAAAGCGCATAAATTGAGCTATATTCCTTTGCTCCAAAAATTGTGAGTGGTGACTTGGCTTCATAGTTTGATATCTCATTTGACGTACAGTCTATACTATGATATGGTTTTTCTTTAATTTTATGTCTTAAAGGAACTACATATTTATACTAGGACCCCAAAATAGGGCTCTAAATAAAGGTTTATATGCGTTTGTATAGCCCTGTTGCACAGCACTGTTTTCAGTTATACCAGCTTAAATATAGCACTTTTTGTTCCAATTGCATGTACAAGTCTAATAATAATGACAATTCACACTACAGCAAATCACCCTAACAGTCTGTTTGTTTCAATATCTCATAAAGAAATAGTTAATTCACTACTTTGTGATCTGTTTTATAGACCCAAGTATTAGGGCTGGAATATTTGTTTTATGAGTAATGGATTTTTCTCAATACATCCAGTTTTTCTTTTAAGTGAATAACATATAACTGAAGTACCTTTTAAAGTACGCAACTGAAAATGTTTCAACCTCAGAGCTTGTTCAAACAGGCATTTCATTCTTACTTTAGTTTCCATTGACCTTTAATGTTTCTTATCTGGGACCCATGGTAACCGGCTTTGACCATAAGTTGACAAATAATTGTGGCATTTAAAAAACAGACAAGTACTGTACTTTTTAGGAGCCAGTCTGTTATTAAACTAGCCAAGGAACTGTTGTATCAATGAATCTACTAAAAGATAAAGTTAGAAGCCAAACCTTGCTTCTTCCAAGGTCATACTTTATCTTTGTTCAAGGGTATTTGCAAACACTTTTTATTGAAGCTTTCAACATCATTCGACAAGTTATGAAAGTGTAAAATATTGTTATCATGGAGCAGAGCTTGACTACCAAGCTGACCAGACACATGGAAAGCGAGCTCTGGCAGCTCTAAACCAGGGGTTCCAGCCTGTACACACCTTCTTGTGCCTCTATCACCAAGGGGATAACCCGCTTACTCGATAAACATCACACTCGGACTACTCCGTGACCGAGAGCCTAAAACGCACAGCTGAGGCCTCCTAAGACAGGGCTTGGGGGAGACTGCCACTCTCCCTGCTCCAGAAGCTGAAATTACTCACCCAAGCTCCTACCCCACCTGCCCCCTGGACCAGTGCAAGTAATCCCGGTCCCTGTTGGCCTGCTGCACAGTGGCCTTCGAAGTATGGCGGAAAACGCTAGACGGTACAGCGACCCCAAGATGGTGGACGCACTCATACACGCACCTCGAGGTACACTGCATCCACCTACCGACAAACCCGGCTACCTAAGCAGCTCAATGACTTCGCTGGAGGCTATATTTGTCAGATTTTGGGCCAGGCTGTGGGCACACATAGCTAGCCCCACCTTCTCATTTGCAAAGCCGGCAAAGCAGAATCGGAAAAAAGAGTGGGGAAGGTCCACATCATCCACATCGTGCACAAATCGTACACACTCCTATCTCCCCCAATGAACGCCCACCTGTACTGAGGGCCACCAAGGGCTTGCCCAGGAAACACCGTCCACACAAGCGGAGGGCGGACCGGCCTGCACTGGCGCCACACCCTCAGGACCTCACACAATCCCTCGGATTCGCAGAGCACCCACGTCCG